TTGCTTGATCTTAATATGGGGCGATATTTTAAGTTAAAATAGGAAAACCATTAAATTAGAAACTAGAACTAGAAGAGAATGAAACAATGAAGTTAATAATGGAGAACTTTTAATCATATAAGCATATAGCATAGAACCTTGGAGAATATAATAATGGAATCACTTAAATATTTAATATGAAAACTAATTCATTAATTGTACATTAATACATTATATGTTAATTAGATATTTCAAGATCTAAAGCTGTTTTCTTGCAATAAATTATCTCACTTTTGAAACACATATTGTGGTGCCTGGATACGCCCTTGTATGAACCTAAAGACTTCTGTTGGAAAATTTCCATAAAACACACAGTTTTACCGAAAGGAAAGACTTTTTGAAGGGATCTTAATAGGAAATTGATCATTCCTTGACATTTATTACAGACTTAGCAAATATTTTAATCAAAGTGCACTGAACCTACTTACTTAAATAACCTCAATCTATCGATCTTTCTCCGGCATACATCTCTGTTTTAGTGTAACAAAAACACTAGCATTCCCTGTTAGGGTAAATCTTTCCTATAAATTGTATATCCGCTCCAGACATTGCATTTGTTCCTACGTATAGCATCCAGTCAGACACACACCTTCCGTCGAGACACTCCTTCCAAGTCCACTAGCCAACCCTCTGCCATCTCCTCAGTGTTTTTAGTAATTGGCAAATGACCAACAAGAGAAATGGGCGAGAAGTAAGAAGAGCACGCGAATGAAAATTCGCGTCTGGAAATACTTCCGCATCGGGAGGAGACTTTGTCGGGCTACGGACTACGGACTACGTGGACTATTTATAGAGGGGCCTCTACTCTAGACTACTGCTCGTATATAGTGCAGGGCATATATCAAATCGCTGGCTGACTGTCTGCTCTTGTCTATATGCATATTTATACTACACATAAAATGAATCTTGTGTTGTGTTTTGCTGTGTGTGCTCGTGTATGAGGAGCGGAGGCTCTGGCATCAAGTGGATGCCACTTGGCTGCCTCTGGACATTGGCATATTCTATTTTAATGAATTATCTGCACTTAGGCATCGAACTAAAATATAAGAACTATGACTATGATGACGACTGGGTGGAGAAAGGCAAAAACGCGTGAGGTTTAACTCGGAATGTATGGAGTTCTAGGGAGAGATACGAATAGGGAATTACACTTATACTAGCAGTAATATGATTTGCATTGCAATGATAAAATAGGTCTACCAATTTATAGAATTACGATATAAAAAATACCCAATATTTGGGTTTCTTTTGTGTACTTTTACTCTCATAAATTAAGGAAATATGGTTACTATATAAATCACACTTCTAAGGTGTTATGTTAAAGAAAAGAGCACCGTTATCTTTATATGAGAATTTGGACATATGAAAACTTTTTACGAGCTCTGAAGGAGGTTGAATATATCTTATCCTTTTCTGATGACACCTGTAGGATCTATGGATGGTAATAGCCTATAGTACATAGTAATAATTCTAATGAACAATGGGAAGAGGGGTTTTAAGAAACTGCAAAAAAGTCTATTAAATACAATTACGTATTACGTGATTCTGCCTTTAAATACCATTAAATTGTAATGAGCTTATCCAGATTTAGATAATGGCTGCATAATAATTTTCACTGAATATGATACTCAGATTTTTGGATTGAAATATGATTGCTACAAAGAGAGGTACAAGGAAAATGTAATAGTTTTTTCTAGATTTGTAGATGATAATTCTATAAATAATTCTAACAAAAAACATTTCAAATATCTTCAAAATTGAAAGCCCCACAGTTTTAATCTTTCTTCCCGAAGTTCTGTGGGGGTTACCGAGTAATCTTTATAGCAGTTTTGATTCCTCAAGCTTTGAAAGTCGCCTAAAAATCGGCATACCCTGGTAATCCCCTGGTAACCAGCATAAATATTCGTACTAACGGACACACAAACGTATATATGTTGATTGGCTCAATTGGACGACTATTTGAACTCTGAACCCCGACCATGCACATCGGCAGCTCTCGTCTTCCTCTTCTGCCCAAGAGCCCTCCTATTCCCTTGTACACCGTCCCCTCTACCCCCCCGCTGGGCGACGCACCATGACCAAAGCTACTAATTTGGGCCAGTGAAGTGATCGTCGTCGTCGTAGTCGTCGTCGTCGTCGTGCTGTTGATCACTTGAAACCCCGTCGATGTCGTTGTCGTAGAGCAATCGATGGGGAAGACACCACTAGGGAGGGAGGGGAAGGAGAGCGAACGGAATCTGGGGCGTGGGCGGGTACCCGGGGGCAGGGTCGCCACGATTGTTGGCCGTTTATGGGCATTTGACTGGAAATGTCAACCGTTTGCTTAGGGGGAAAAACTGGTTAACCAACCACACAGTGAGAGAGAGAGCGAGAGAGAGACTCCCCGACCCACAAAGCGGATGCAGTGCAACTGAGCGCATCTTTGGGTCGCCATCAACCTGATGAGAGTTCCCATTTCCCATCTGTAGCCCCCCTCCACGCGCCCCAGCCAAATACTTAAAGACTAAAGACCGAAGAGATCTTTCGGTTAGCAGCGAAGCGGAAACGCCAGAAACAATTTATAATTAAAGATTGCCAACTGGTTTTTATGGGTTCACAATTTATGGGATCGCAAAACAGATATCTGCTAGCACCTCCTCACCTCTGAAATCTTTATGAATTACACAAAAAGGCCTGTAAGCAGGTGCGGGGCTTCAATTGATTTTGGAAGGGATGAATATTTAAAATATTCAACAAATTATGGGTACTGAACGTCCTAGGTATATTTCTTATCAGCTTGTGCTAACATATCATCAACAGTTCCCACAAAAACAACAATATATTTGCAAACTCTTGAGTTAAAGAGAAGACACGGGTACTTGTGCCGATAGGAAGAGCTCAAGTCGAATACTTAGGAGCTTCAATCTCTGTATACAGGTTGTCAAGCACAAATGGAATCTACAAATGCTGTAAAGTGGTTGTGTTTTTATTTTATTTTTTTATTTTTTATTTTTATTATTGCCTGGAGTATATCTCGAAAAAGGTGCTGCAACTTTTATAAAACACTTTGTGTCCTGAGTTTGTATACTCTATGAACAATCACCTTTAAATTCCCAATTTTTTTTTAATTTACGTATGTATCTGTATAGCTTTTAAACCTATGAAAGTCTTTGTGATTTTATGTGAATATTAGCCAAAAATTTCACACCAAGTAATCTATTATATATCCTCTATATAAACCTTTCAAATTTTACCCCATGAAACGCACGAACCGAATTCCTACATATACCATTTTACCATTTTAACTTTCTTTGGAATATTAAGCCAAACTTTACATGACATCATTATAATATATCTCTACTAAAACCCGCCAATTTTCTATCAAATCGAAGTCCCTACATATGTATATCACCCATCCTAAACAAATTATATTCTCCAATGGCTACTGCTAACCCCCTTTGCCCTCAGCGCCCCTGCTCCATCCTATCAGTTTGATGAAGCAACATTTGTTTAAACTTTATCTTCTATTGATTAACAACTATATGTGGCGCCCCCCACGCGATAGCCGCCGCCCACCAGCTGCTAAAACGAACTGTGCTCTGGCGGTGCGTATTGAGATGTTCCATAGTAAACATTTTAAAATATTTAAATTATTACCATTAATTGTTGTTGCTGCTGCTGCTATTGTTGTAGTTGTTGCCAAGGAAGTGAACGAAAGGAAAATCTGTTGATGTTTACACATAAAATGATTTGTTGTTGGCTGTGTAGATTCCGTAATAACATAATTGAGATTATTATCGCAATTTACATTTCTGGAGAACTCATGAAAACAGAGAAACGGCTTGGCTTCTCTTTTCATATTGTTTTATGAACATTTTTTAAAAATAATTATAAGCATTTTTTTGTTTAATGATTGAGTAAGATATATTGTTCTTTGCTGATATTCCTGGATCATCATATTCCTTAACGATTCCTTAGTTCCCAAGGCAACCCGCAAAACGATTACATAATTTACGAATTTTATACCATCGATTAAACGTTATAGAATTTTCATCTGAAGATCCAGACTCATAGATAATATACAATCTGCGGTCTTAATATATTTATATTTTCAACTAATAATGCTATTATTTTGACCACATCTGTGGATATCGTAGATTTATCATCGTTTGTTATAGCCACGTTCCACTGTACTCTAAATATGGCTTCGATTTATATTTGTATCATCATTTGCGGCCAGTTAAACGGATTCGATGCAAGCTCGACTTCCTTAAATAATTTTCTTAATTTTGTATTCTTCTCAGATGGCGCCAGATGGAGCGGCTCCAGCGTTACTTACGCTCCCCGACTTAGGCTCGTCCAAAGGGGTATTAATATAGGGTGAGCTGTTGCAAAGGTGTGCTCTAAATAAATCGAAACCATGATTTAGTTGTGAAGTAAATTAATAGGAATTTTAAGCAAACCCACTCTCTGGTCTTACTAGTTTTCACTAGCGTTCCATTTGCATATATCATAACTACATATTTATTTAATTTTCCTCACACAGATGCACATTTCAAAGAACGAGTTATTCCACACCCATCCATTCAAATATACCTTGCTCTGGCTCTCTTCCGTCTGTTCTCTCTGTGTCTCTGCGCATGCACTCTCACGTTGTTCGGCTTCCCGTTTTCGCTTTGTTTATTTCTTGCGCTGCTTCACGTCAAAACGTAAGAAACTGTCGTGGCGAACGGACGTGTGTGGTTTCTTGTTCGTTGTTCGTGCAGCGCTTGGGAGGAAATAGTACACACAAGCAGAAAACAGAGCAAGACATTTTGTTGTTCACAAAGAATTTGTGCAAAGATAAATACAAAAAAATATACGATTTAAATTGATTAATGCACAATTAATAGAATTTAAATGACGGCATAACGGTTCCACTTACGTGCGTGCGTGTGTGTTTGTGTACGCGAAACGGAAATAAAGAAATAAACAAGAAACAACCGACCGACACCAAGAAGTGTATGTGAAAAGGAAGACACAAAAATTCACTGTTCTATTCCGCGCGGCGCCCGCTCTTTTCCTTGCTCTTCCTCCGCAAAAAGAGTAGGAAATGCTAACACAAACAAAATACAAGTGCAAGTGCATCGCGTGAGAGATCTGTGTGTGAGTGTGTGCGTGTGTTTGTGTCTGTGTGTGTGTGTGCGAAAGCGAGTGCAAGGAACACAGACGGAAGTACCTTTGACTTGTTCTTCTGCTCCTCCTACACACGCTCTCTTTTGTTTGCTCTGCTTTGGCGCTGACATTCGCAAAGACAACAACAATAACGGCTTTCGAGTAACGGTCAAATGCAAGCAGTGTGAGACAGGATTAGCCCCAAAAACACAGCACCACCCACCAGACAGCACCCCACTCTACGACAATGGCCCCATGGCGCAGCAGATAGCAACAGCAGCGATAGAAACAGCGCTGCAGCACAACCAGGAAATCATCAATGTATCAGTAGCAGCAGCAGAGAACTGCAGCTAGAAAGCAACAGCAAGCAAGCGAGCAAGCAGTGCATTAGCAAAGTGCATGCATTACCTTACGTCGCACACCGATACGTAGCCATTAAGCGCGACACGTAGTGCAGCAGTTGTAGGCAAACCACAAAGCAACAAGAACACAACGCCTGTCGATTGTGTCAGCCATTCTGGGATCTGGACATATCCGCTTCCGCATTGCTCAAGAATCGAAGCCCAGAGCCCCCCGCAAAAAACGCCCGCGCCAGAACGTCACAGTGGAGCAAACAGGTAAGCAATCGCAACCACAGTGTTAACACAAATTGAGAGATTATCATCTCTCGCTGAAAAAACATGATATAGTACTACGTCACAGTGGTCATGAAATATCAGTACACGACGATTGTCTCAGAACAACTGATAAATGCGCCCCCCACCACACACACACACACACCTTAATCTTTATGGTTTATCTCTCTGCTAAATATGATTTTGTTCCCTCTGTCTCTGGTCCGCCAAGACGAACGAGTCTTACAATGTTTAAGTTTCTTGGGTTCAACCATTCGTGGGATCTACACACGTGTAAAAAGATAAAATAGCCTCAGATATAATTAGGGTAAAATTAGATAGGGTAACAGACCCAGTAACAACGGGTTTATCTAGGGTTGTTGGTTGATTTATTAACTTGGATTTAGTGGGGATTTGATTGTGGCATCTTCATAAGACTGTTGTAAATTTGTAAAGAAGATAAATACTCTCTTAAACCAGGGATTCGTCATGATATTTCTCGGGAATAAATTCCTCACTCTATTGATCATCGTTCACACACATATGTAGAACTATTTCACTAATTTCACTTTATTATTCCAGTGCTAAAAGTCATTCGCATTTTATTGTTTCGATGGGTAAAAAAGGTTAAGAGGTCTATGAATATTGCTATGGTGGAAATGGGAAATATAACAGAGGTTAGAGGTTGTAAGAATCTATAGGAAAGGAATCTTATAGGCAGCATTTTTGAAGAAATGATTTAATGCTTTTAGAATATTCTTTCGATTACTTAAAGAAGTTCCTTGTGTAATTTCGAAGAGTTAAAACGTTAGAACTGTTTTTTATCATGGAGTAAAGTTTACGCTCTACTGCTCTTGCAGACCCAGAAAGCTCCCACCTTCTATATTACATTAAACATCATTTGAGGGTTCCTTCTAACAGAACATTGCAATTCGAGATATTGCTGTTTTATCGAGTGTGCACGAGTTCTGCCTGTTGCATCATGCTGGTTGGTTGGTTGGTTGGTTGGTTGGAAACCGTAATTATCCAGTGTCCAGTGCATGTCTTGGACTGTATCGACTGGGCTGCTTGGTATGCCATAGAGTGGGGTTTACGGTTGGTATATGGTATGGCATGGAACGGTTCACTTAAGTTCGGTTCGGTTCACGGGTCTCTTGTTGCATGCACTTTTCTATGGAAGTGAAACAAAAGCGGAGTGGAGCGGAGCGTTGAGCTCCAATTAGGGTGCCGCGCGACTCTCTGTGGCTCACGTCAGCGAAATCTTATCGCTGGGGCGCTATGGCAAAAAGAAGAAGAACAAAAATGTAAAAAATACATAACTGCGGGGCAACGAAGATTAAATGCTCTTCACCTTTGTAGGATCAGAAGAGGCTCCAGATCTCATAGAAAAATATTTTCCATAGAATATAGTGATTTTAATATCTTCAATTCTAATCGGAAACATCTAAAAAATCATACAGATATCTTATGACGTTCGGAACTGCTTCCTTCTTTGCGTCTCACTAAACCTCCCTCCAGAATCATAGCACCCCATCCTCCATCCTAGGGTATAGAAAAAAAGAAACGTAAAAAATGCCAGCAGAATTCTGTTTATTTATTTGCCTGCGCCGCCGACGACGACGCCAACGTCGAACAAATCAGCCAAACAGTTCCTGCTTCTGCTTCTGCCGCAGCCCCAGCTACATTCTCCCTGTCCCCCTCACTTAATGTGGTAGTGTGTGTGTTTGTGTGAGGGGGGTGTAAACTACCGCACACCTGATCGTGTGATGAGATGAGAGCACAAATCTCGCCCATACACGTGTGCAAATGTGTGAGTATTGTGCTTTATTGAGATTTGAATTGCTTCTCTCCCTCTCTCTCTCTTTTGCACTCGCTTCAATTAACGGAAAACGTAACAACAACTTGTAGAAGCTGCGTTTTAAGCTCAATTTTGTTGCTTTTACAATTTTATTTTCCTTTCCTGGTTTTCGGTTCTCTCCCGTCTCTGCTCTGCTCTGCTGTTAGGTGGCCTGGTGACCAGAGTTGGCAGCAAAAAAAGCAGCAAAGCATCAGCGCGACGGCAGCGCAGCGTAAATACAATAAATTAAATTCACTTCCGCATTGCTCCCCTCCCCAACGAAAAAGCAAAAAAAAAAAAAGACAACGTAATGGGTGAGTGTGTGAGGCGAAAAGACAAACGACGTAAGAGCATGGTAAGTGCGCGGAAGCAAGAGAGCGGGTCAAAAGCGGTAAAAGAGGGGGCAGCGACGCGATCGCTTGGGAATTGTTGGTACTGGCAGCTCAGCTAGAAAGAGGAAGAAAAGAAGTGCGCAGAGGGGAGTGAGGTGGGTGAGGCAAAAGCAAACAGGTATAAAAACTGTTGATCGCAGCCAAGCGAAAGACAGAGAGAGGAAGAGGGAGAGAGAGAGCGCGCGCCAAGAAAACATCGACCTATTCCCTCACACTCGCACACACACACATGCAAACCACTCCCGAGAGTCGTGTGAAACTGGCTGACTCACTCACACACACGTGCGATCGCAGCCAGCGGCGACGTCAACGTCGACGCCGAATCACTGCCAAGAAAAGGAAAAAAAAATATAAGCAGCGGCGGCAAAATAATGAAAGAAAGAGGAAGAAAACGCCAAGCAGCAAAAAGCAACAAAAAACGCCTTTAAGCGGCAGAGATATTAACACAAAATGCCGAACCAGCAAAGCACTGCATGTGTGTGTGTGTGTGTGGGCAAGAGTGTGACGCTACGCTGCTCTCTGGCTGGTGCTTCGCTCTCTTTTTCTCAAGAGTGTTATAAAAACAAGTAGGAACAGTGCGAGACATAACGCAGTTAAATATATACATATGATGGCGGGGGGGAGGGAGGTTCAACTATGGAATAAATGATGTAAAAGTTAAGAATAAAATCTTACACAGCTTGGTTGATATTCTTGAGTTGGAATAACATGTGTTCTCCATATTAACGCACAGTGGCGGGAAAAAGTACTACACATTGCAGGTTGCAAGTAGTAGTACCCCCGCTTGGGTCAATTATGGCCCATCTAAGGGTTAAACCAAGGGCCCAAACGCATTTGTTGTGGCTTTTCTTGTTGTTGGAGCCGCCCCGTTTCTTTCTATTTGTGCTTCCTTTTCTATTCGCTGACGCCTCTCTTTTGATGCACAATGCAAGAGAGAGAGTCTCGAGACATTTGCTGTTGATGACTCTTTTGTTGTTTTTATTTCCACATTGCATGCGGAAGCGGCTGTACAGTGCAGTGTATATGTAAATGCAAAAGTACATATGTATATGTGTGTAAAAAACATATTTATATATTGTATTTCTTGTTGTTATCGCAGCAGCAGATGTTGCTATTGTTGTTGCTGCTGCTTCTGATGCGCTTGCATGCACTGCTTGTGCCATATTGATGTTTTGCAATATGAACGCATACACTTGCACAAATAAATATACGCACAGCACACATTGACACCAATATAAGTATACGCACACACTTTACCGCACACTTTCACTCTAATAAGTATATGCACACACTCACTCCAATAAGCATATGCACACACTCACTGAAATAAGTAAACCCCCAGCCCTATATAGAAATGTAGATGATATGGAACGCACATTCATTGCAAACCACTTGTGTGCGGCATTTCCCATTGTAACCCATTTTTATAGTACAGCAAAAATCACACTAACCTGGTTTATGCCACCAAATGCTTGAGACGGCGAGACTTTGGCAGTGTGGCAGTGCAGCCTCCATTATGTCGTATCAAATTCGTTGAAGAAAGTACATACATATGTACATCTGTATGTGGCAAGAAAACGGGGTGGCCTATCTTTCATCTTTGTATGAACGTCAAACGATCGTGCGAATTTTCCATTAAAAGCGGTAAACCCATCACCAAAAGCTCGCTCTGTGTCACTCCATCTCTCTCTCTCTCTCTCTCTTTCTGTCTGTCTCTATCCGCCGCCACACAGCTAGTGGCATGGCAACCACCTGGCTGCTGAGGTCTGTCGATTGCTCACACAATACAATACACTGGTCGTGCGGTTTTGGGGATCAAGGATGTTTGGGCACTTGCTCAGAGGCAATTCCCGACCATTGCAATTCAATGAGATCATAGAATGATATAAACTCGATTCCTGGGGCTTACTTCATGCGATGATTTCATCCAGGAAATCCATTCAATTGCAATTCTTTATCAATTTCCTTGATACAAAATGATTCAACTTCCTTCTTATATTCTCATGATTATTCTTGTGGCATGTGTTATATAAAGTAATTACTTTCTATAGGTCTACCATATATACATAAAACATATAAGATCTGTTGTCATTTGTCTAAGATCCCACCCAGAGCAATCTTTTCTCACGATCATCATTTCCCTATATTTCCCAATCTATTCCCGCGCATACAAATTCCACTGTAAAAAGACTGCACTGCACTGCACTGCTTGCTTGAGTCTCTGCAAAAAGTCAACTCCAGTGACTTGTTGTTGCTTATCGCTAGTTGTTGCTCTTACCTATGCCTGCGTCTGTCTCCCTCTCTCTCTCTCTCTCTGTCACTCTGTTTCTGTGTCTGGCTTTGGGGTAACCTGTTGTGTGAATTATGTTACGAACGTAACGTGTTTCAAAATATAGGAAGTCTTGCTTGAGCTATAACGCAGCACCGCCGACGCCGTCACTGGCGATATCAACAGCGAGGTGCTTTGCTCCCATCTCTGCTTTGCGCTCCTCTCCACTGCCTAGGCCAAACTTTGATCCTAATGCTGCTGCTGCTGCTGCTGCTGTTCACACTGTACGTTTTCCAGCGATGGTTTTTTTCTTTTTGGTAACAAATGAAATATTTATCCAAAGATTTTTAATCTTATTTAATCTGTTTTATTCATGGCAATGTTTCCATCGATGCATCTCTAAGAGTAAAAATATTTCTCGCAGCACTGGTGCATCGGTAAAAACCGATCGTGTATGAGCGCAGCAGCAAGCGCAGCTTTGCCTCTGCTTTCAAATCCTAAGCCA